AAAAAAAAAAAAAAAAAAAAAAAAAGACAAAGGCCCCACTAAAGAAACATCCCTATCGCATCCTGCTAGGCAAATGTCCAAGGAATACTATTATATTCTGTGGAAACAAGGGCCAAAAATCCGCCTCATCATGAGAACATCTCATTGATATCCTGCCTGGAGTGAGCCGTACTGCCCAGGCCCCTGCTGCCCATACCTATGAGTACCCCAGCCTGTAAGCAGCGGTGGGCTCTGTCATTAAGCTGCTTCCCCGCTTCCGAGGGTGTCTGCAATATACCTGTGTTTGCTATGGAGCTGCCCTGTCTCTCTCTGTGTGTCTTTTTTTTAAAACCTTGCCTTCCCTCCGAAACCTAACAGAGAAGAGAAGTGGCTCTGGCCTGTGTGATGCATTCTCAAGGTAAGATGTTAAAAGGTAGGTGCAGGAGTGTTTCCAAAGGGCGACAGTCAGTGCCCACTTTGGGTGTTCTCACCATAACCACTTCCTTCTTCAGTTCCTCTGTATCTCTCTTCTTTTTTTTCCTCTTCATTTTTTTCTTGCTAGGTTTAGGCCCCTTTATAGGTATTTGTCTTGGATTCTGTCCCTGGGGAGCCGCTGCCCCTTTCTTCCACCCCAGCTCCATAGCTATCCCCAGAAATAGCTGTCCAAGCTCAACTGAGGGAAGAAAGCTGAGAGAGTGAGGGAAGGGGAAGGGAAGAGGGGGCTATGAGAGGAGAGCGATGGGGAGAGAATGAGGGAGCAGAAAGCAAGAGGCAGGGAAGGGGGCGTCGTCGGGTGGTCAAGGTGAGGGAGGGAAGAGGAGTGAGGGAGGAGGGATCCAGTGGTCAGCTGGGAGGAGGAAGAGTCAGGAGTGAGGGAGGAGGGATGGGAGGAGCCTGGGGCGGAAGGGTGAAGAGGTAGAGGTGAGAAAATGTGGTGAGGGCATTAGGAAACAGGAGGGGAAGGGTAACCAGGTGCCTCAGTGATGGAGATACCACAGGGCCCACAGCAGGTGGGAAATGACACGAGAGTGAGGAGGTGGAGTGAGCGTCAGGGACCTGGGAACTCCCCCAGCCCCAGGCTCTGTGGCTGTCTGGGCAATGATCCAGGTCTGGCATCACAAAGGCCTCATGAAGGTTCTAACCAAGAATCTGGAAGTCTCAGTCTTTGGGTCTGAGGATGATTGGGGTAGGCCCTGCTGCAGAGAGAATTTCTCTGAGGGCAGAACTAGAACAAAGTTCTTGTGTGGACATGCAGACTTTGGAGGCTTAGAGGTATAGCTGGCTCAAAAATAAAGCAAGTACTCCGTGTGTGAGTGTGCTTTTGAGCAAGGCACACTCTTCCGCCAACATTGGGTTTGAGCTTTTAATTTTAGGAGATCAGCCAGCAGAATAAATCAGATCTTGGGCTCTGGAGCCAGTCTTGGGTTTCAATCCTGGCTCTTCCACTTGTCAGCTGTGTGGCTTTGAGCAAGTTACCTAACCTCTCTGTACTTCTCTTTTCTTATTTGTAAAAGAGGATGCCGTCTACCTTAAATGAGGTGCTCTATAAAAAGCACAATGTCTGACATACATAGTATGTGCTCAATAGGTAGCTTGAATTCAGTCGCGGAAGTTTTATTTGTGGCTTAATATGCAGCTCTTCTCAGTGAGGGTAAAAATATGCTTTTCCATGTGATAGCATGGATTTTCTCATTTTAAAATGTTGTACTTATCTCTTTCATTGACCTTCTCTGGAGTCTCAGTAAGTGCTTTGACTGTATTAACTCTGTATATATGTTTTATATGTCCATAGGATTCCACCTCCTTCCAAGAATGATCCGAAGCATCTATATATTTCTATCAACCATTCTATATATTTTCAATTATGCATGTCACATACATTTTCCCTTTCTGTTGTTTATTTACTTTTTGAGACAGGGTCTCGCTTTGCTACCCAGGCTGGAGTGTGGTGGTGCGATTATGGCTCACTGCAGCCTCAACCTCCCACGTCCGAGTGATCCTCCCATCTCATCTTCCCAAGTAGCTGGGACCACAGGTGTGTGCCACCACGCCCAGCTTTTTTTTTTTTTTTTTTTATAAAGACAGGGTCTTCCTGTGTTGCCCAGGCTGGTCTCAAACTCCTGGGCTCAAGCAATTCTCAGCCTCGGCCTCCCAAAGTGTTGGAATTACATCTGTGAGTCACTAAGCCCAGCCTGATATTTATTTAATTGCATTTTGGTTGGGCATGCTTTTTAAAAATATGACTATATCTGAAAACATTCATCTTGGTGCTGATGCAATCCTCCTTCAATATTCAGAAATAGAAATGTTCCCTTCTCAACTGGGATAAATGATAGTCTATTTCTTTAACAGATTGGATTTTTCTTCTCTATTAAAAATGTATAAGGTAAAAATTGAAAGCCACACTTTCCCTCCTTCCAAACTCAGACTCTGCCTTGCTGAGGTTAATTCTGGGAACAATGTGCTACATATCCTTCCAGTCTTTTTTCTATGCTTATACAAATATATATCTAAAAGGAGATATTTTTCAACTTTTATACGATCATTCAATGCTATCAACCTGTCATGTATATAAAGCTTATTTTTTTCAGTGCTATGAGGCTCCCATATTCTGTATTGAACATGCTGTTTTCAATCATTCCCACTACTGATGGATTTATGAGATATTTTCCATTTTTTTAACCATTAATAAAATTGCTAGAGTATCATTCTTTTTTTTAATGAAAAACATTTTATTGAGTATTAATTTACACATGCAAATTAAAAGTGAATCTATATTGATTATTCCACAATAAACACCTATGCAATGGGAATGATCAAAACTGTCTACACAATCCTAATGTGTTCAATAAATTATCCAGATGTTTTTCCACAAATATTTGGATTACCTGAATTAGCTGATTCAACAAAAGTTAAATTTTGCTTTAATATGGTAGCAGTGGCCTGCTACAAAGAAAAACATATGAATAAAAACTCTGAATAGCATAGCCAAATCTTTCAAGAAACAAGTTCACCAAAAAAGTAGCATACACCTATTTGTTTTATTTTATTTTATTTATTTATTTATTTTGAGACAGAGTTTCGCTCTTGTTACCCAGGCTGGAGTGCAATGGCGTGATCTCGGCTCACCGCAACCTCCGCCTCCTGGGTTCAGGCAATTCTCCTGCCTCAGCCTCCTGAGTAGCTGGGATTACAGGCACGTGCCACTATGCCCAGCTAATTTTTTNTTAGTAGAGACGGGGTTTCACCATGTTGACCAGGATGGTCTCGATCTCTTGACCTCGTGATCCACCCGCCTTGGCCTCCCAAAGTGCTGGGATTACAGGCTTGAGCCACCGCGCCCGGCCCTTTATTTTTTATTTTTAAAGACGGGGTTTCACCATGTTGATCAGGCTGGTCTTGAACTCTCGACCTCAGGTGATCCGCCCGCCTTGGCCTCCAAAGTGCTTGGATTACAGGCGTGAGCCACTACGCCCGGCCGCATACACCTATTTGTTACCCAGAGGAGGAAACAAAACAAAACACAGGCACTTAATCAACATCCATCAAGTGATCATCACTAACATTCTATTATTACCATAGCAACTGTCTATGTGTGAACTGTAGATCAGAACAGACTTAAATGTCTAAAACCAGTAATCAATAATATATTCAGAAATACTAACTTGAAGTCACATTTAAATACCATCAACAGTTTGGTGTATCTGATATACACTGAATTCATCACTGCTATAAATTCCTTAAAAGTGTTCTAGAGTGTCATTCTTATACATAGATATCATTAAGTTCTTGAGCTTCTATTTCTGTAGAATCAGTTCGTGTTGCTGAATCACAGGGCATACTCATTAAGAATCTTAAAAGATTCTGCCAACTGGTCTTAAAAAGGGTTTATCTCTCTATATGCCAACAACAAGATGCAAGAATGTCCACTCTCCACACTTATGATTATGCTAGATGATCTTGATTTTTGCTATTATAATCGGTGACATTTGATATCTTGTAGTTTTAATTTGCAGTTTTGAGTTGTCTATGTGAGCATTTTCTCTTATGTTTTCTGGACTTTATTTTATTTTTTATTGAGGTGGAGTCTTGCTCTGTCTCCCAGGCTTGAGTGCAGTGGTGCAATCTTGGCTCACTGCAACCTCAGCCGCCTGGGTTCAAGTGATTCTCGTGTCTTAGCTTCCTAAGTAGCTGGGACTACAGACGCAAGCCCCCATATCCGGCTGGTTTTTTTGTATTTTTTAGTAGAAACGGGGTTTCGCCATGTTGACCAGGCTGGTCTTGAACTCCTGACCTCAGGTGATCCACCCGCCTGGGCCTCCCAAAGTGCTGGGTTTATAGGCATGAACCACTATGCCCAGCCTTGGACTTTATTTTGTGAATTGTCATTCTTACAATTTGCCCAGTTTTCCATTGTTTTATTTTTTATACTGATTTGAGGGAAACCCTTGTCATATACATTGCATATGTTTTCTCCCAGTCTTTTTTTTTTTTTTTTTT